AAAATAATGTAGTGTCTGAAACATAAAGGTTTATTTACGTTATATGTAACATTTCAATGCTTGCACGGTGTCGCTAGTATGGAACCAACCTATAATTTATAAGTTTTAATGAACGATTCAGTCACTCTTCAATATTGTTACGCGATCTCAATATTGACAGTCCAGAATCTGGAAGACATGACGATTTTTCAATATGTTTTATTTTACAACGGGAACGAATAGTGCATTTAGAAAGTAAAAATTGGACGCAAAACTGGCGTTCGACCTCAACCTCAGTTGAGAATCCCTGAACCATTGGACTGATTCTTAAGATTTAGAGTCGAAGGCAGAGCTAAATGTGTTTTTGTATGTCAATTTATTGCATTACAGCAGTCAAACTAAGAGATAAGTTGCGACTCTATGTCCAAGCGTAAATATCTTCTTATAAACCCTAAAATCAGAGAATGTTAAAATAAAATAATCTATAGTTATTTTCGGTTTTGTCATTGAGGGGGTTAGATTCTTATTTAAGATAAATGAACGTCCCTTTCTGAAGAATTAATATTCAAATTTGTATCAGTCTTTGATCCGTAAAATTCAATTACGTTTTGATTTTCTACAATTTGCCCTTCAGGCAATATTTACATTATGTTTGAAGTATTCTGTGAGCAGTGTAGGCCTAGCGGCTTGACCGTGCCACTCTCCTCCCTGAGGTCTTAAGTTTGATCCCCGTGCACCAATGCACTTTCTGACTATATAAATACTCGCTCTTACGGTGTAGTAACACATCATGAGGATAACAGCATGTCGCAAATCCAAAAATTTGCGACATGTGTCAGACATTTTTTTTTATAGAATAGGAGGCAGGGGGCAGACATAAAGCTGATCGCCTACTAGTCTGTGAAATAAAAATGGTCAAAGCTTTACACTGCAATCTGAGGCCAAGAATCATTTAGGGTTGTAGCGCAAGTGGATTATTATTATTGTCGATGTGTTTCTACTTTCTAAATGTTTTTAGAAATCGGTTTATATTTATTTAAAAACTTACGGCTAGCTTTCGTTCCACAACTGAGCCTGAGCCCACTGAAATATTCTCGAACCAATTTGACTTAGGGCCTTCAAGAAAAGAGCGTACCAATTCTTAAAAGGCCGGCAGCGCGCTTGCGAGCCCACTGGCAGCGGTATCACGTAAGATCAGGTGAGCCTCCTGCCCGTTTGCCTCATGTAAAAAAAAACTTAAATAAGGAGAGGCAGGTTTAAATTTTACTAATAGAAGTTCTAAAGGATTTTTACTCAACAAGTCTGGCTAGCTCAGGAAAAAGGCTTCATCGTTTTTCGACGTATACCTACGTCGGTGTAACAAACGAATATTTATTTATAATTAAGAACTAATGTTTAATATAGTAGCACTTATAAATGGATCTTTTACACAATAAGCCTTGTTGTAATTCAATTCTTTCGTCGCAATAATTTCAACTTTAAATCAACAAGGTGTCTACTTGGCAGCTGTAGTTAAACGGTCTACGCAACGAAAATTGATCTGTATTACCAAGTATTTGATGTGTCAATCGCTTGTACGATCAAAAGCTGGGGCTTATCACATAAAAAGGTTGGGTTTGTTGGTCTGTAGTTTTGTTTCTTTCGAATGCATTTTGTGTATCGCAATTTAAGAATATTATTATACCCATAGCGGATACTACCAGCTTTAGGTATTGGTAAATACATTTCTTAAACATGTTTTATAAAATAAATAAATCAACCTACAACCTCTTTAGGTCTTGGCCTCAGATTCTGTTTCATGATCATTCATCTAATAGGCAAGTAGGTGATCCAGTGCCACACGCTGTCGACTTTTTGGGTCTAAGACATGTCGGTTTCCTCACGATGTTTTCCTTCACCGTTCGAGCAAATGTTAAATGCGCACATAGAAAGAAAGTCCATTGGTGCACAGCTGGGGATCGAACCTACGACCTCAGGTATGAGAGTCGCACGCTGAAGCCACTAGGCCAACACTGCTCTTAAAACATGTTTTATAGAAATGGAAATGCTTTCCTCAGCATACCTACTGAATCAGACCCCACACATATACGGTATACCTAATCTACATTTCGTTATTTAGATCAGCGCAGTAATGGCCTTTACAGCATGGAAATTAAATTAAATACAGTTAGTTATCTTATAAACTAAATATTATATTTATCATTTCTATTTGTATTTATTTTATATGCGTAAGAGTACAAGGTGACTCATAGATTTATACACAGTATTCTTTTTAATAGCACGTGCTTTAATTTAAATGTTTACAGGTTCATATCAGTGTTCCACCCACAATCTGTAAATTGTTGCTGGAGTGAAAAACGTTTATAGATTTCTCAATCAAGTATTTTCGCATATAATTCAATAATTTGCTAGGAGTTTTACTAGCATTCGATCGTGGAGTGATATTGGCTGCTGCACCACTATGCTATTCTATAGAGAACTCAATACGAAGTCTTCAATCATTCTGTTTTATAATATTCATACAAAGCATACCGACTCGGTCCTTGGACTAGACGCATTTAATTAAGAGAGTATGATTTTTTACAACAGAATACTCCGGGCTAAAATCGTAATAAAATTGTTATATTTTTTTATATATGTATAGCGGAACAAACGGCTCATCTAATGTTAAGTGATACCGCCGCCCATGGACACTCACATTGCCAGAAAGCTCGCAAGTGCGTTGCCTGTCTTTTAGTAATTGGTACACTCTTTTCTTAAAGGACCCTAAGCGTAATATATCGGAAATACTTCAGTAAAATGCTTTAAATATAATAATAAAAAGAGTGCTTGCGTACTCTCGTGACTACGATTCTTTTTTATTCAATTAATCGACGCGCTAATAATACCTGAGTTAACAAAACGTAGTTTTGTACGATAAGTACCTATCTAATATATAAAATTATTGTGTCACAATGTTCGTTCCCATACTCCTTCGAAACGGCTTGACTGATTCTTATGAAATTTTTTTTGCATATTCAGTATGTCTGACTATCTATCTTTCAAACCCCTACGTGATTTTTTTTGTTTTTATTTTTTTATGATACATCATACATACAACTCTGAATTTTCACCGATCAACCTCTATTTTTTGTTATTGATAGTTATTTTTATTGAACTAAAAAAATATTTCCTAGAAATAAACATGGCAAAAACAACGTTTTCCGGGTCAGCTAGCGTTATATAGATTCTTAATAAAACGTACAGCCACGTGACATTACTAGTCGTTCCTGGTTAGTCAATGTTTGCGTCGGACCTTTTGATCAGCTCTCAAAGAATGCCGCTCGTGTCGGGTCTCACCTGACCGGTGTTTGTGTATTCGCATCTAAATGTACTCTGTATGACGTTTGTGGCTTAGTTGTTTAAGGTTTATTGTATTAGTAAATCGGAAATATTGACGTGTGAGAATAATTTCGCGAACTGTTTGACGAAATCTTACGTAACAATTCATATTGTTAACTTACGTGTTGGAAAGTATAGGAAAGATTTAATATTATTGGTTAAATATTTTTCGAAATTCGTTGAAGATACTCTTAGTTTCGTATATAGAATAGAGATATAGTAATTGTATAAAGAAACCGAACTATGTATCTATGTCCGGTGTAATATAATATATACCGAAACGCATAAATAGTAATAATAATAATAATAAGCCTTTTTATTTCCTGTTTTACAATAGTTGGTAGTTTTTATATTAAAGTAACCAAAAATATTGATTTTGTTAGTAGGTTAGCCTAGATTATTTTAGTAATATATAATTTATTTACCAGGAACCCCGGTTTGGGTAAAGGCCTCCTCCAAAGATGCCCATTATTGTCGGTCCTGTGCTATGGAGTGCCAGTTTTTGCCAGCTGATATTTTCAGATCAGATCATCTTCCCAGCGGTAAGGGTCTCCCCTTCCGCCTCTTGCCTGGTGGTCCTTTCCTTTGGCTAACTCGTTTGGTCCATAAATAACATAAATAGCATAAGTAGTAAGATTGTTATAATAACGCATTTTAATCTTGCGTGGTCTATTTAATTATTGCAATCATACAATTATCAAGATGAAAAAAATCCGACGCGATCTGAAATTTCTGTTAGAAGTATGTTCATTAATTGCCACTAAAAATATATTTTTTCTCCCAAAGTAAGTATGCCGTGTATCTAGATACTGATGACATGACTTATAGAAATGTTGAAATTAAATTAACAGTTATTATTTTATAAATTAGTGTTAATGTTGGTACGACTATTTTAGTAATAAAATAAGTTAAATAATAAATACCTACCTATGTTGCACTAACACTGCCTTAGAGTCGAACGCTTTCTAATGTAAGAGATTTAAGTAAGTAGGTACTTTAAAAGTTCTTGATGAATATACAATATTTAATACAAAGATGTCTTTTGTTACTGAATAATAAAGTTATCAACTGTACAGTAAAGACTATTAATAGATACAATACAAAAATATATATTAATTCCATTTATGAAATAAAACATTAGAATTTAATAGAGTTGTTTTGCATACCTAAATGACTACAAAATATGCAAAGCCTATACAAAGACTTGCCTACAAAACGCAATTATGACAGCAATTCGCTCCTAATAGCTTTACCGGAGATGTTCTGTCACCAAAAATTTGCATTCGTCCATTCTAAAACGTAATAAATTCACCAAAGTTACTGTGACAAAGTTCTATTCTCTTTATTCAACGTAGCGACGTGGAACCCCGTGATTTTAGGGAAAGTGGTCGTTGCATCTATTTGCGATAGTCGGTAATCGATTGCGAAGGCAGTTCTCAGTAGGCCACGCCTACTGGGTGGGGTTAGGCTGCTTCGGGAGCCGGCACAGGCGCTGGTGGCGGCGCCTTTGATCGCCCCCTACCTTCACACAGAGGTCGACAGCGAACGCACACAAGCTCATTACACTTTCCGCGCTCACGCAAGCCGGTTGTCTGTCATACCCGGTTTGTGGACATCAGTGTTGTGTAGTGTTTTGTTTTATGGATTGTCTCGCAATGGAAGATAAGGCGTACAGTGTTGACAGTTCAGACGATATTAATATCGAGGAAGAGGAAGAAGAAATTATCGAGGATAACCACAGTGAGTATCTTTATTCGGTTTTTATTTCGTTATTACATACATTCACTATATGTAATGTTAGGACTTAACTTGGTGGTGTTCATAGTTTTTGATTACATAAATAAATAAGGTTTTGTATAGGTAGGTCAGTTATTAATAGATATTAATTATTTCGTAATAATTTATACTTATATGCGTTATTTAATCTTGATAATAGAAGTGAATCATGATAATCTTATCAATTGAATGTTTAGTTTACGACTTCAAATTTCTAAATATAAATTTTTTACAGGCTATCCGCCGGATTTTCCGATCGAAGCCCTTGTGAAGTTAGAGAGACCGTCTCCACCTTTGCCGACGCCGCCGCACACGCCGACAGACGACACACCACCCGCTGTGGTTGTATCAAGACACCAGGCGTGGCCCGCGCCCCAATACCCCAACTACAGAGCAATGCAAGCCCCATACTCCTACGACAAAGTCCCATACAACTATCCTACTCCTTACGTCCAACCACAAGTCGCCACCTTACCACCTTCCGCTCCATACCACGCAATGCTAGTCAACCAGTGGATAAGAAACGCTGCCTTATACCATCACACTCTACGATACCCGTCTATGGCGCAGAGAATGCCCGGAAGAAACCCTGCACCAATGAGAGGACCAGGTGTCGCAGGAACGAGACCAAAGAAGCAATTTATTTGCAAATACTGCAATCGCCAGTTCACAAAGTCCTACAACTTGTTAATCCACGAAAGAACACACACGGATGAAAGGCCCTACTCGTGCGATATCTGCGGCAAAGCCTTCAGAAGACAAGATCACCTTAGAGACCACAGGTAGGTTTTGTACAATACCTTAACTTATATACTTAATTATAAATGTCACGCGATGTTCCTGAATGTTAAGGCACGGTGATAAGAAAGTTAAAAAAACAAAACCTTTTTGTGAGGTCGCGAGGCGGCCGCACGCGTTCAAACCAGTTTTTGTTCTATCCGATGACCATTTTCAACGCGCACCGTCGAACAAATTACCTGCTATATCTTTCGATGGAACCTTTAGAATCAATATCTAATGTCGTGAACTTTACTCAAAGTGAAAGTGGCGTTTACTAATGTTATTCTATTATTTCAGGTACATTCATTCGAAAGAAAAGCCATTCAAATGCACGGAATGCGGCAAAGGGTTCTGCCAGTCGCGGACGTTGGCGGTTCACAAGATTCTGCATATGGAGGAGTCACCCCACAAGTGTCCCGTATGCAACAAAAGTTTTAACCAAAGATCGAATTTGAAGACGCATCTTTTAACTCATAGTGAAGCGAACAAGCATCACATAGAGCACCTCGAGGGATGTCAGGAAGTGTCATCTACGAGTCAAGCGTCAGAGAGTCCCTTACTGGATCTGTCTCACAAGCCATCGCCCCCGCCCCAAGTGTACCCTATCCATGTGTCTGCATCACCAGAGCAACCGAAGAGACCTCTGGGTTTTTCAATAGAAGATATAATGAAGCGCTAAACCCGTCTCGTACAAACCAAACCGAGTACCTAACCTACCAAAGTGATCACTTATAGTATTATAATTTCAGTATTATTATTAGTTAACGGTACTCATCAATTATCATTTCAAGTTTGATCTTTACTAAAGACTGATTGTTTATAATTATTGTTATGTTTCTAAGATGTTTATTTATTGTGATAGGTGGATAACTAAAGTTACCAAAAATATTACCGTTAGATTACCGGACTTGTAAATTGCTATAGTATTAACGTTCCTTTGTAAGTAGTTAAGTTAATTTAAGAGGCTATGATAAAGTTTAAGAAAAGAATTATGAAATTATTACTTTGTTTCATTTTTATTTTTACATTAAATAATTAATTAGAAACGTTTAATCGAATCAATTATTATATGTCGACTATTAAATTGATTGAGACTTAATTGACTGCTTAGATAATACCTAACATTACCTAACTATATTACTCAAAGACAAGTATTATGAGGCATATAAAATTATAAAACATTTAATGCTTGTAACATTTAAATAATCTAACATTTCCTACGAATACCTACTTAGTTTATTAAAACAAGCCATTCTATATACATACATTAAACAATGGATTGGTATCAAGTTGCCTAATTACAATAATATTAATCAGCGGCGCTACAACCTCCTTAAGTCTGGGCCTCAGATTTCTGAATCTGTTTCATGATCAATCTAATAGGCAAGTAGGTGATCTGCTTCTTGTGCCTTACACACGCCGTCGGGTCTAAGACATGTGGGTTTCCTTACGATGTTTTCTTCACCGCTCGAGCGAATGTTAAATGCGCACCTAGAAAGATAGTCCATTGGTGCAGAGTCGGGGATCGAACCTACGATCTAAGGGATGAGAGTCGCACGTTGAAGCCACTAGGCCAATACTGCCTAATTACAATGTCCAGATAAATTATTTATTACAACTCAGTAATCAATAGTATACAGTTTAGCGGTCCAAAAGTGTAAATTAACTTTCCTTATTTCGTTGGAGGAGGCCTATAGGTACCTTTTAAAGGGGGTCTTACTAAAATTGTAATTGATATCTTAATATATATTATCATAATACACTTTAATGTAAGAAAATGTTCTTTATTTTGTAAAATTCATTACTTTAGTAGTAAACTTAAGACTAGTTTTTTATTCCTATTTCACTTTGCCTTATGTCTCAAAGGTCTAAGCCTTAGGTATTATATTTTAAAACTGGACTTACAATAAAAATATAAAATATACTGTGTGTAATCTGTTAACGAATTCTGAAACCACACAGTCTCAATTTATTAAGACAACTTCATTATAACAAAAAAACTATAATTGACTAGGACAAATTTGTTATAATGACTACGAGGTATACAAATTGCTCAATTCAGATATAATTATATAATTGCCGAACAGCGCCATCTAGTTGCTGCTGACTGAACCACGATATGTCACATGTCACCAAGGGATGTCGCTACTAGTTACAATTCAACCTAAACCGGCAGTGGCCGAACTTATTAAGAAACTGACTAGTTTTTTCTGTTGTTCATATTAAGAATGATATATTACAGAGCGGTATTAAATAATAATAAACAAATTTATATGGATCGAATCTTACTGTCCCTTTATGTTTTATATGTGAGAAGTGTTGTAAGTTCCAACTTGTAACCAAAGCTAATTTCCAAAAATCAATATTAGCTGTACGAATACATAGGTAGTTCCACGACCATGTAATCTTCCGTAACACCAAAGTACACAGACACTGTTCTGTGTCCGTTTCATTATAGGTTGTGCGAAAAACCCGAAACAATTTTGCCAGGAATATGCACTGTATAATTCAATACCTAATCATATAGTGATATATTTTTAAACAGCCTTTTAGACTAAAATTAACGTGAGCTTTGCACATTTTTACTAATTCGTAAAAAAATCTAACTAACCCTTCCCAGAACAATTATTTAGATTTAGTAAATGGATAGAAAATTGGTTTGGATTACATAGCCACGCACGAGTTTGACAGATGCAACAATTTAGCATCAGCAATTTGCCAGTCAATGGAAATTGAGGGATAATCGCGGTTCGCGAATTCCAACAATTTTCCCATGACTATTGGGCTTCTAAAACATCGATTTCTTCCTTTTATCCCAATTAATTCCGATCCGAATTAAACTTGAATTTGGAAGGACTAAAACATATTTCAAGTCATGTTAACTGACGTTCGCGTTGCTGACTGATTTATCGGCGTTAATTCAAGGAGTTTTTATCTATTTAATTTATTGTTTTAATAAGGGCCCAAACACGGGTTTCGCTATATTAAACATAGGTTGTTTTTTAATGCAATAATTTCCTACATGTGACTAGCTGGTGTTTTAAAGAAAGTGCGAAATAGGTATAGCATTTTTAGTACCTACGAAAATGCTATATTAACTACCCCCTATTGTCTATAAACAGTAGAACTAAGGTCACATTTTTTTTTGGTAAGAGCGAAGGTTCGACATCTCGACAACGGCATATTATGTTACTTTTGGCCGGGCCTGGATCATACGACTGCTTTAAAAGTCGCACAACTAGACAATCCACTACTTAGCAAGCCTATTTCATACACTTAAACTTTCTCCGAATTCACCAAGTAAGGATTGTATCCACCTGTAATAGTACGGAAGTTGAATAGCGTTTTCAATTATGCCTCAATTAGGAGTTAGTTAGGCTGGTATCACTAAGAACAGCAATGACGTCAACAAACTTGGACCTACGTGGTATTTAGTATTTATTTATTATTAATAATAATAATTAATCATTTATTTGCAAGAAAGATCGATCTAAATGTACCTAACATTTAGATCGATGAATTGTGAACATCCGCACAATCAGTCAAATAAAAATAGGCATGCAAATGTCATATACATTTTTATTAAGTCATGTAATAAGAACATTAACACAATGTTATAATAATAAGTTATGCTATTAATAATTAATTGTTGTCAAACTTATGGTCCAAAATCCAAATACTCGCCGACGCTATAGGTAGTACCTTGCCTTTAAAAATTAAATCAACTTCCTCTTAAAAAGCATTACACGGCAGTGATCTATAACTTCTAGGAAGGTGGTAAATAGTTTGATAGCCATGGCGTAACATTTATAATTTATTGAATACATCGCCGTGCAAGATTATACCTAAAAATGCGTGGCACTCGGGGACTGCCGCGGTAAAGCTATTGCATAGCATTTTTTATCAACTTATGCAATTATAATTTATTATTTTTTTTATTTCTGCAGTATTTTTATTCTTTGATATTAATTCAAGTTTTTTCTTTGATATTAATTCCATAATCTACCACTCTACCAGATTCAGACTAACACGCCTATATAGTCTGTCTCATTCTAACGCGTACCGGCTGCACCCGATGTGAGACGTCACTTTACGTCATCGTGTGTTAGGTTATTTTCGTTACGGAATTTCTGGATTCGGTCTCCACGCTCAAGGCCCGCGATAGAAGCTATGCAATAGCTTAAAAGTGAATATAAACCGGACAAAGTTTTTTGTGCATGTCGTACAGATTTAAAACTTATATACTAAACCCAATGATATGTAACATAAAATTATAATTAGTAGTAACTCAAACCATCGATATAACTGAGGTAGGCCTACTCAGGTTTGATTCACCTTTTGATTACACATAAAAGCATAGCTCAGAGGTAACATAAATCTCTATCAGAAACAGCAGTAAAAACGGTCATAATTATCTAAAGTATAATAAATTTCCGAATAATGCTCCTTTGTTTTGAAATGTGCTACTAACTTTAGGCCTCAGGCCAGTAGGTAATCTTCATTAAGTAATTTTATTGTTCACCTATGACTTTTGATACAGGAACTGTTTGCTTTGGGTCTACCGTCTTCTCTACCAAAGATTTTATATGAGAAAAAGAGAACTATTCCTATTTCAAGCAGAATTTTCTCTCTTAATCTGTCTTAAAAAGCATGTCTTAATTAATTATATACGATTTATATAAGGCCTTGAAACGCTTTTAATACATTAAGTAGTTCTAATATTAGAATTATTGGTTATATAACCATAATATCCAATATTTTAAATTATCTATGTGAGTACTACACATACATAGGTTATTCTAAAGATGTATGATAATCGTGTACTCTTAACGAATAAATATCGAACTTTTTTAGGTTGTGTATAAGTTCCTAGCGGGTTGGCCTAGTGGCTTCAAGGTGCGATTCTCATCCCTGAGGTCGTAGGTTCGATCCCTGGCTGTGAACCAATGTACTTTGTTTCTATGTGTGCATTCAACATTCGCTCAAACAGTGAAGGAAAACATCGTGAGGAACCGGCTTGCCTTAGACCGAAAACGTCGACGGCGTTTCAGGCACTGGAGGCTGATCACTTGCCTATTAGATTAAAAAATGATCATAAAACAGATACAGAAATCTGAGGCCCAGACCTAAAAAGGTTGTAGCGTCACTGATTTGTTTATTATTTTTTTGTATAGGTAAATTCCAACTTATGTTTTTTTATGTAATAGGAGACACACCTGATGTTAAGTGACACCGCCTCCCATGGACACTCACATTGCCAGAAGGCTCGCAAGTGCGTTGCCGGCATTTTAAGACGATCTTTTCTTAAAGGACCCTAAGTCGAATTAGTTCGGAAATACTTCAGTGGGCAGCTGGTTCCATATGGTGGTGGTATGCGGCAAAACCTGCCTTAAGAAAGGCCTAATCTAAGCTATGTTGTATGTTACAATAGAACAACATATATACTGCGTACTATTAAGGTAAGCCGTTTGCCTATAACGCCTGAATACCTAATATAAAATAGGTTTTAATTTTATTTTCGTTTAAAGGGTCATAATCGCCTCCAGTCAACATTTATCACATTTTAATATTCAATATTCATATAAGGTGGTTTAATATTTCACAGTGGGTGCGTCTGCGACTCTAATTGGCCGAAATGAACCTATTATAGCGATGATTTGTGGATTGGCAGCTGTCAAT